TGTGTCTCTCTCTGTGTGTCTCTCTATGTGTGTCTCTCTCTGTTTGTCTCTCTCTGTGTGTCTCTCTCTGTGTGTCTCTCTCTGTGTGTCTCTCTCTGTGTGTCTCTCTCTGTGTGTCTCTCTCTGTGTGTCTCTCTCTGTGTGTCTCTCTCTTTGTGTCTCTCTCTGTGTGTCTCTCTCTGTGTGTCTCTCTCTGTGTGTCTCTCTCTGTGTGTCTCTCTCTGTGTGTCTCTCTCTGTGTGTCTCTCTCTGTGTGTCTCTCTCTGTGTGTCTCTCTCTGTGTGTCTCTCTCTGTGTGTCTCTCTCTGTGTGTCGCTCTCTGTGTGTCTCTCTCTGTGTGTCTCTCTCTGTGTGTCTCTCTCTGTGTGTCTCTCTCTGTGTGTCTCTCTCTGTGTGTCTCTCTCTGTGTGTCTCTCTCTGTGTGTCTCTCTCTGTGTGTCTCTCTGTGTGTCTCTCTGTGTGTCTCTCTGTGTGTCTCTCTGTGTGTTTCTCTGTGTGTCTCTCTGTGTGTCTCTCTGTGTGTCTCTCTGTGTGTCTCTCTGTGTGTCTCTCTGTGTGTCTCTCTGTGTGTCTCTCTGTGTGTCTCTCTGTGTGTCTCTCTGTGTGTCTCTCTGTGTGTCTCTCTGTGTGTCTCTCTGTGCGTCTCTCTGTGCGTCTCTCTGTGTGTCTCTCTGTGTGTCTCTCTGTGTGTCTCTCTGTGTGTCTCTCTGTGTGTCTCTCTGTGTGTCTCTGTGTGTGTCTCTGTGTGTGTCTCTGTGTGTGTCTCTGTGTGTGTCTCTGTGTGTGTCTCTGTGTGTGTCTCTGTGTGTGTCTCTGTGTGTGTCTCTGTGTGGGTCTCTGTGTGTGTCTCTGTGTGTGTCTCTGTGTGTGTCTCTGTGTGTGTCTCTGTGTGTGTCTCTGTGTGTGTGTCTGTGTGTGTCTCTGTGTGTGTCTCTGTGTGTGTCTCTGTGTGTCTCTGTGTGTCTCTGTGTGTGTCTCTGTGTGTGTCTCTGTGTGTGTCTCTGTGTGTGTCTGTGTGTGTGTCTGTGTGTGTGTGTCTGTGTGTGTGTGTGTCTGTGTGTGTGTGTGTCTGTGTCTGTGTCTGTGTCTGTGTCTGTGTCTGTTTCTGTGTCTGTGTCTGTGTCTGTGTGTGTGTCTGTCGTGTGCCGTGTGCGTCTGTCTCCTGTCGTCTGCTTGCTTGCTTGCTTGCTTGTGTGCTTGCTTGATTTGCTTGCTTGTTTGCTTGCTTGCTTAGCAATTTCTTTGCGTTGCTTTGCTTTGCTTTGCTTGGCTTGTTTGCGTATTAGTTTGTTAGTTTGTTTGCTCGCGTTTTTGCCAGCTAAAACTTAATTGCAGCATGTTTGGTCACCTGGTTGACTCATCCCGGCAAGTCCAAGCTCTGGATGACAGCCTTTCCTTGGGGGTGGGGTCTTTCATTCCCTCATGACATGCACGTGTCCCTTGTTTTTCTCCTGTGTTAGGCGCACTGCGCTTTGTGCCTTCAAAAACTCTTTTCTGGGCCAACGTTAGTTAACATCTTCCATCTTTGCCCCCGACTGAAATGATGAAGAAAGAATTCGTTTTTAAGCCTAGGTTCAACAACTCTTTTCTGGGTCCACGTTAGACGTCTTGGTTTGGGGCTGAACGCATAGGTGTCTTTTTTAGTTGTTTTGGTAGAAAAATAGTTGGCCATTCCTGGTTGACCTGGTGGTTTTCCTCATCCACTAGGGCCATGTATTTCCCCTAAAAGGACACCGGGCTCCTTTTCAGATACATTTTTGCAACCATTTGAACCATGTTGCTTTTTCAACACCAAAACAAGGGGAAACAACACCATTTACAAGTTGCAATGTTCAGGCGTATGCATCCGGATCCCTGGGACATGGTTGAACGTTGACCCAGTCCTTTGCCCCGCATCCAGACCAAGCTGGAGTTGCAGCCCACACGGGACATAGACCTCCTCGGAACGGAGGACGGAGATGGCCTCTACTACGGGAGCCTGGGATCGATGAGACAAACGACTGGTCTGGGGTAGACTTAGGATACATGTTTTACATTTTACCAGTGACTCAAAGTGAAGCAATCAATAAAAGATACATTCTATAACTGGGCCCAGCTCCAATCGTGTGGTGTCTGGACCTAAACACTTAAAGCGCCAGGATACTTAGTATGTTGCTAGTAAGCCGGGTTATACGGAGACTTATAATCATGGCTCTTGTGGGTTATAACATTCAACCATGGTTACGAACCACTTACTAGGTACCCTGCCCCTTCAAGTAGGACCCAAAAGCCTTCTAAGAATACCCTCTAAGAAAGATCTATAAGATCTCAGGATCCTTCGGGGGGGGGGTCTTTGGTCTCCTCCTTGGTGTTTGTCTCGTCCATGGCACAAAGGCCTGCCACCGAGGCTTTTGGCCCGAATCAGCGGACGCAAACACTCTTGAACGTACCATTCCGGCCCATTTGTTCGCGCAAACGCGCTGGCTGCGTTCGAATGGGAAAATGGGAGGCCACGTGCATGGCCCCTACTTTCAGTCTTTTTGTGGACGCCACCCTTTCAGCAGTTTGGCTGAGCTGTTTTAAAGTGAACGCAGCCATGAGCGAACCTATGTTTGTTTTGTGGACGCGGTTGTGCTTCGCGGGTTTGTCTGAGGAAGCTGATGACCAACTCGCCGCATTGGTGCGGCCACATCCCCTGGATCGTGCAGTTCGTGGTGCCGCCCTGCTGGTTCGGGAAGCCGGACAATACGACGCCGGGATCTCGGATTGGGCCGACTCCGGGGAGCTCAAGCGATCGGTTCAATGGAAGCCACCCATGAATTGCACCGGCTCGGAGCCTTGAAGGTTGGGGCCGTTGGGCTTCCAAATTTTTGGAGTCTGGCCTCAAATGGTTGGACATGAATCCCCATGCAAATGATGTCCACCAAAGAGTGCCCAAGACACTCAACTCAACCCGACCTCGTACAGGGTTGTGTTTCCTGGTAAAGGTTCCTTTCATAAAGCCTTGTTCGGGGCTGTCTGTGACACGTGAGAGATTCACCGAGATGTCGCTGTTCTTTTGTCGGAAAGGTTGCAACCTTCAAACCGGCGGGCTCAAAGTTACCCCCAAGTTGTCAAGGGAAGACACACAGAGCAGAGCTTGTATCGTGCTTGGGACTTTTGATAAAGATTCTTCCGGTATATAAGGGTTCTACGTTCAATTCCCTCCTTGTCTCAGATTGAACGTTGACTTTGGGCCTTCTCCGCTGTTGGAGACCAACGGATGGTGATTCAGGTTTATAATGGCTTGGGGTGATGTCGAAACCGACCACTGGCTGGTGGCATTTGAATGCCAAGGCCGACGTTGTCATACGTTTCTCTTCGAGGATTCTTCGTGCCACCAAGAAGCAACCCCAAAACCATGGTGAAGAACGGTAAATGAGAAGTTCCTAGCTCCCGTACTTGCAATATTTGGGCATCCACTGTTCCTCTGTTTCCAACAATCGTGGAAGTGCATAAGCCGCTATGGAACAAATGCCTGCTTTCCACTTTCAGGGCAACTACGCATGCAGAAACCAATCGAAATTTGGAAAAGCTTGGCCCCAATGACTGCCCCTTTCCGGCTGAGGCTCGGCCCAGACGGAAAGCCCCAGTGGTGCACCTACGTGCATGGCAGCGCCAAGCCATATGTCAAGGAAACCGGCTCGAGCTGACGCATTTCTTGCGGGACCCTCCAAAACTGCTTGGTGTACTTTTGGCATCCAACTGGGCACCTTGCAAAAGGGGTGCTTCCCTTCTGTGAAGCTGCCAAAAACGTATCCCTCACTCGTGTGGCAGACTGCCGGTTTGGGCATCGTGGGCAGCCTGACGTCACCTTGTGCCCACTCGCCAGAGTTAAAGGCATGCTGCAACGCCGCATCGGCAAGTCGTAAATGGCGGTGGGTCAAAACCAATGGTACCATTTTGGGGTAGGTGCACCACCCATTTTGGTCCATTTTGGTGGGGATTGGGATGTTCACTGGGGGTACGATTTGGATTTTGACCCATGGCCAAATCAAACTCATGGTAATAATGTTAATATAATGTGTGATCGGCCGTGTTTCGTTTGGCGGTGCAAGGCTCGCCAGGCCCGTCTACAAAGTGATTGACCTCAGCCAAGCGGCCAGTGCGCAAGCACACTCGAACACGCAGGTCCCTTTGTTGGATACGTTTGCGCCAGGCAAAAGATCACTTTTACCAGCTGCAGCAGCAAGGTAGTTGTTGGATGTATCCTTCAAAGAACTCCGTCTAGTCAGGGTAGATCAATAATGGTTAAGTGGCATGCTCAAAGAGCCCACGTGCCCCTGGTTCCCTTTGGGCACAGACAGGATTGCATGAGGTATATGAGTTGCACAAGGTTCGAAGATGGACCTCCGAAAGACCTTTGACCAAATGACCTTTGACCTTTTGGTGTCCTACGTGTGTTTCATTTTTGCTCAACCCCCCCCCCCCCCGCCCCAGAAGGTTATTTCCTACGGTGGATGGACGAAATCCTGCACCACTTTCCAACCATGGGAAACCATTTCCTTGTTGGTATTTACAGGGGAATCGTCATTCTGGGGTTTCCTGGGTGGTGCGAAATGGATTTCGCAACCATCCACAGTATTTCCAGGGTTGTTTGGGCTCGTCAGAAACTGTGGCTGTGAGACAGGACTGCAATGATCGCGCCCTCGGGGGCACGCCGACGGCGACGCAGCCACCGCCGCCAATAAAGACCAGAGCTAAGCCAGCGAAGCTTGGCAATGACACGAGCGCTGCTCTGGGCACTGGGTACAAAACTTTAAAAGGAAGCTTGCCGTGTACCGAATCTAGTGGTACCTACCCATTGGAACCAGAAGGGCTCTCTCTCTCTCTCTCTCTCTCTCTCTCTCTCTGACAATCAAAATCACCACACCGGAAGAACATTGGTATCGAATCCTTTTGGTTTCCTTCTCCTGGGGCGAGTTTCTCACCTGGGAGATGGCACAAAACTCCCCAAATCCCTCGGCAAGTCGAACGATAAGCCGAAAAATGGTTCGAACAATCCCATTGTTTCACCTATTGGCACCTTTCTTGTCGAATGCTTGTACGGGTTCGCCGAGTCCTCATGGCTTTTGTACCAAGCCAGTGGAGTGAATCACCCCGTTACTTGCTACTCCCAACGGCCTGGGCCATCCCTCCTGAGCACCAGCAAGATCAAGATGGAGACCCAGGGCCATGCACCAGGAGGTTCCTCAGATGTTCCACATGATCTCCCAAGAATAAGGCTGGTGCAACCAACCGAAATGTAGGATACAGAGAGGAAACTAGAAGATCTGCAGGCGTCGCTCGTGGTCATGACTTATGTTTGGTGCTGGCTCACGTCAGTTGAAGGCCACAGCGAGGGTCTAAGCCACAGATGTCCTGGGTCAGATTGGTGGAGAAATGGCCGGCACCCGGCACTGGCTTCAGTTTTACCTGGAGGGCCCGAGTGGTTTTAGCGAGGGTACCTTGCCTCGAGCCCTGGATTTTGCCGAAAGGCGGGTTCTATTCTTCCATGTCCGTTTCAGAATACGTTGCGTATTTTCCCCTGTTGGTTTTAAAATGTTTAAAGGGAATCTATCACTGCAGGAAATGTGTTTAGTTCTCCCAGGGGACTTGAGCAAGTTGAGTATTCCAAAAAGCTTCAGTTGCGACAGTTCGCTGGACAAGTCCTGCGATGTTCAACCAGCGTGATGGGATGTTACTGTTCAATGCTGTGGACAAAGTCCTGCACCAGACTGTAGATGGCTTACAGCATTCAATCCCAGTCTTCATATGGCTTCATCCCAAGTGGTGCATGATGTTGCCGAATTCTATTGACAGCAACAAGCACAAGCACGTTCTCAGCTCAGCGCACAGAGGTGCAGCTGGATGTTTTTGTCATCTCCCCAGCTTCGAAATGCCCTTGGACTCCAAATGCCAAGGGTCAGTTTGTTTTTTTCCGGAAAACCGGGGATGTTTGTCAAAATGGACTCCTTTGTGGAGGTCTTAGGGGCGTGTCAAGGCAACAACCCATCACTGTCCCTTTGAGCAGCCAGCCTGTTGGTTTGGAAGGGGTCCCAAAGGTTTCAGCTTGGATTCGGTTCGTTCTTGTTGCTCGCCTGGCAATGAGGAAGCCAGACTGGTGCAACAACATCCCAGAGGCTCAGAAGAAGTTTGCGCCTGACTGCAACGACGCGATCCAAAGTCTTTGGCTGCGTCTCGGCCGTGTGGGCCATTAACAGGGAAGGATTGTCGCCACCTGATTTAGAGGATCCCCTGAAAATCAGGTGCTTTTTGGATGTTTTCTTTCAGCCTTTCAGGAACCCGATTCTAAGCCGAATGGTAGTGGTGTGTCTTGTTGTAGTGGTGCCCCAGAACGGATTACAGATTAGGATTCAGGATCCCGAAGAACCCAGTTTGGAGTTTTGGGCTGTGTTTGGCCGTTGCTCTCATCCAGGAAGGGGGCTTTCGGTTTTTGCATCAGACCTTGGCCATCCTTCTCGGGAATCGGCCGAACCAAAGGTCACCCGCTATAGGCCATGGTATCTTCCTGTTCCCTTTGGATCCTTTGGATGGATCACTTATAACCGGGTTCCCTTACGCCCCCAGAAACTCGGAAACTGGGCGACCTCAGGCATGAAGGTTCGATTTTTGTTTGGGGCTCTCGTATATTCATTTCATTTCGGTGGGCTTGTTGATTTGTGATCGACCCCTTAGGGACACTCAGCTGACACAACGAATTGGTGGTTTGGCGAGTTGGTGAAATATGATATTTTTCTAGGGGTTGATTCCCCATTCTTTTCAGCCATCGTTCTTTCCAACAGCCAGTTGTTTCCCCCTGGGGTTCTGATGGTTTTCTGGAAAGAAAGTTGGAAAGAATGGGGAAGTGCCCCCTCGAATTGTCCCCAGCTTCCAACTCATTCCTCCGGAAAACTGGCACTCAGGCGGCAGCGGGAAGCCAACTTCGCCTACCACCCCGTTCTGCTGGAGGCGGCTGCGGAGACCGACTCCTCGGCTGGCGTCTTTTATGGCCCTTGGGCTACAGGGATGGGATTGGTTCAATCGTGTTGAAAAAAGGGACTGCCTCGATAGCCAAGTTGCAATCGCTTTTTCAGTCACAGTTGCGATCGGTTTGTGTGGTAAAGTGGATGGAAAAAGGCGCTCGCAGCTGGTGGGTGCAACATTCAGTCTGGCAGATGTTGGACAAGTTTGGAAACCGCATTTAATCCATGGATTCGTCCAAAATCGCAACAAACATGCAGGCAGGACAAAGCAGGGGCAGTGCGTGACCTTTTTCCTTGCCGTTTAATGATGCCAGTATGATGCAAGCGCGTCTGGTGGTATGGTCACAGAGGTCCAGACTGTTCACGTCGTACGGGTAGGGTGGCTTGCTTGAAAAGTGATATTTGTTTCCTCCCTTCCAGTCAGCCCCTGTGAGGCGCAAGTCATGAATTGGCAACGTCTGGCACTCCACAGCTCCACTGAGGCACCCCCCCCAAAAAAAAAAAAGAAAGGCCAACATCCACAACATCCAGCCAGCATCCAGCACTTTACACAGATTTGTTTTCCCCACCTTTTCCTTCGGAATTTTCGTTTCTTGTGCTTCTTCTCTTTGCGCTGCGGGCATCACCTTTAGGCCGAGTGATGACCAGCTCGCCCCATTGGTGCGGCTACATCCCCTGGCTGGTCCAGTTCGTAGTGCCGCCCTGCTGGTTTGGCAAGCCCGGGCCCAGCGATGGACCGCTGGGGCCGGATGGCACCTCGGTTCAAAGGGGGGGGGAGGGAAGGGGGAGGCTTAAAGATACCTTTGTTTGTGTTGCCGTGGTTGCTTGTTTGTGTATGTGTGTGTTTGTGTGTTTGTTTGTTTGTTTGTTTGTTTGTTTGTTTGTTTGCTTGCTTGCTTGCTTGCTTGCTTGCTTGCTTGCTTGCTTGCTTGCTTGCTTGCTTGCTTGCTTGCTTGCTTGCTTGCTTGCTTGCTTGCTTGCTTGCTTGCTTGCTTGCTTGCTTGCTTGCTTGCTTGCTTGCTTGCTTGCTTGCTTGCTTGCTTGCTTGCTTGCTTGCTTGCTTGCTTGCTTGCTTGCTTGCTTGCTTGCTTGCTTGCTTGCTTGCTTGCTTGCTTGCTTGTGCTTTGTTTGCTTGCTTGCTTGCTTGTTTGTTTGTGTGTGTGTTTGCTTGTTTTTCCCCACCCGGCAGGAAGGGGTTGTTAGATTTTATGTTGGAATCCGCGTTTGCGATGCTTCTACACCACGCCCCCACCCAGTATCCCGCTAGAGCAGCTCGTCAGTGGATCCCGCCGAGTATCCCGCCAGAACGGCTTGCCAGTGGATCCCGCCGAGTATCCCGCCAGAGCGGCTCGCCAGTGGATCCCGCCGAGTATCCCGCCAGAGCGGCTCGCCAGTGGATCCCGCCGAGTATCCCGCCAGAGCGGCTCGCCAGTGGATCCCGCCGAGTATCCCGCTGAGTATCCCAGAGTAGCTCGCCGGTGGATCCCGCCGAGTATCCCGCCAGAGTACCTCGCCAGTGGATCCCGCCGAGTATCCCACCAGAGCAGCCCCGCTGAGTATCCCACCAGAGCAGCCGCCAGTGGATCCCGCCGAGTATCCTGCTGAGTATCCTTTGCCGATGGATCCTGCCAAGTATCCGGCCAGTATCAAGCCGGAGCGGCTCGCCAGCATTCGTCAGTGGATCCCGCCGAGTATCCCACCAGAGCAGCCCCGCCGAGTATCCCACCAGAGCAGCCGCCAGTGGATCCCGCCGAGCATCCTGCTGAGTATCCTTTGCTGATGGATCCTGCCAAGTATCCGGCCAGTATCAAGCCGGAGCGGCTCGCCAGCATTCGTCAGTGGATCCCGCCAGTATCCCGCCAGAGCAGCTCGCCAGTCTGGTTTTGCTTAATGTCCCGCCCGGCGCACAGTTGGGTTTACATTTCATGTCGGTGCCTTCGTGTTTTGAGTGTACCCTGAGGCTCGGAAAGGGTGATGCTTTTGTGTTGCTTCGGGTTGTGAATAAGCAACTTCGTTTAATCCCCCGTCGGGTTTCTTTTTGGAAGGGGCTTGGCTTTTGTTAACGAAACCGATGTTTGAGTTATCGAGATCGGCCCGCAGAAAAGTGGAGTTTGACACAGAGACAGGTGGATAAGGAAGCTTGTTGAGCAGTCATAGGCCCCAAGCCACTCGAAAACCATGCATGAATTCACACAACCGTGTTCACGGTCGTAAGCTCGTGAGTGTGGAGGGTGGGGATTGCTCGAAGCGAAGTAATTTTGTTATTGTCTTTTGTTTGGTTGTTTGGCTGTGTGGCTGTTTGGTTGGTTGGTTGGTTGGTTGTTTGGTTGTTTGGTTATTTGTTTGTTTGTTTGTTTGTTTGTTTGTGTGTTTGTGTGTTTGTGTTTTTGTGTGTTTGTGTATTTGTTTCTGCGTGTGGGTGGTTTTAAGGGAAACCAACAAGGAGACCATAGTTTGACGAAAAAACCTTTAGGACATCATTTGGGCCAGTTAAACGAGCAGCTTTGCCAGTTGGGTCAGAAGACCCTCTTAGTGAATCACCTATCCTTTTTGAGGAACCCTGCAAATACCAAATTCAAAGCATGTGTTTCTGTGTGTGCGTGTGTGGATAGGGGATTTGAGGGTTGGGTTTGGGTCTGCTTCCGTCCTCTAAATCACTGGTTTGGGGTCCCCAGCAATGGTCAACACGATTGGCCCCGTTTCTGCCGAGGGGCTGATGAAGGACGGTGCGTGTCCAAGTAGGTTCGATGGTTGGCCAATGCTCTAAGGCAAGCCAGAATGGTGCAAGTGGGTCTCTCCAAGCGCGATCCACTACGTCCCGGACTGCCGGACTCCCTACGACAACGGCGCCGTTCTTGGAGCAGCGCCGCCGCCGGTGAAGAAGAGGGAAAAGCCGGCTGTGAAGCCCGACTGGTGCACGCATGTGCCCCAGGAAAGCATGCGCTACGTCCCTGACTGCAGCTCTGATGTGGAATCCTTGTGGCTGGGCCAAGCCTAATTTGCTTGGAGCCCCCAAGAAATTCGCAGCAATGCATCGCGTCTGCAGAGCCAGAGTCCGAAATGACATCGAGTTTTGACACGACAGGCACAAAAGACCGGCTGCACAGCTTCCGCGCTGTTCGCATTTTACCGCTATGAAAGTCGCCCCTGAAGTGTTGGATTAGAGGGAAAACCCCCAGTTCCTGACTTTCCTAGGGGTCATTTTTGTTGACGGTTTCTGGGGGTTTGTCAAAGTCGGAAAATGGAATCGGCTGTTTCCCTCTAACCCACCACTTGGGGCGTGACTTTGATCATGGCAAGCTGAAGTTGCAGCCACGCCTTAGCCAAGGCACCCGGCTCCCGGGCACCTGACACATGCGCACCATCCCGCCTTCCATGGGATGCATGCGCCAGCGCATGCGCACGTGGGCCACCCAGTCGCTGCGCCGGCTGGCTATGCGCCCCTCGGCTCAAGTTTGGACAGGCGTTGGAGAAGAGTTGTTTTTTGCGTTTTGGAGACTTGCTCCAACGTCACTTGAAACTGTTGCTGGAAGGGAATCTGAAGAGCACCTAGATGGTCTGAGACGAATGGCTAAAGTGGCTAGCAACCCTGGTTACAAAAATCTTACAACCATTGCTTGGGTGGGCTACCGCAAAGCGAAGCGCCATGCGATTCAACTCGACGTGCCATGCGTTTTGCAACTTCTCAGGCCAGGCTTCACACGCTTGCCTGCCTCCAGGCCGGGAGCCCAGAGTTGGAACTCGAGACCAAGTCGGCCTCCGGCGGTTTGTGCCGTTTATTTTGTTTGGCTCTGCCGTTGTTTTGTTTGTTTCTGTGTGTGTCTTGCTTTTTCTTCTGGGACCGAGATGCATTCTAAACTAAGTTAAATTTAGGCCACAATCGAGGAGTACGTGGTTGGTTTGTTTGGAAAGCTGAGGCAGTTTTGGCTCAAAGTAACCCTCGCTGACATGCACGTGCACAGGAACCCTTGCTAGGGTCTTGCCAAGGGGCCCCGTCGCACGGGCTGCCAAGCTCCAACTTGTTCATCCTTTTAGGGAACCTCGGAAGACATTTTGGCGAGCAACAACTTCCATGTCCTGTAATATATGTTCCCCTGTTGATTTAAAAGGGAATCGATTTCACTACTGGAAACAGGTTCTCATTTCATCCAGGGGGCGCAAACGCAAATGAAGTACAAAAGGTTTGAACTTCTCTATCGAGATGTTTGCCGTTTTGGTGTTGCTTGACCGTTGGCCAGAGCTGGGCGAGTGATCAGTTTGGCCCAAGATGATGATTGTTTTGGTTCTGTGTTGTTTGCGGTGGTTCCTGCAGTATGTGTGCACTTGAACCCTCCAGGGCACCCAAAGACCAAGCAAGGTTATATATCTGGGTTTAAGATCAATGCCTCTGCTGTTTTGTAGACCTTCAACGTGAATTGGGCATGAATGAGCCAGATGGAATGTTGACAGGGGTTTTCACAATCAATCCTGAGTCATTCCGCCACACAATGGCTTCCTTCCCTAGAAATTGCGGTTCAGGATCTCTAGGACCTCATTGCTCCCCCTTCCCTGCAGCAAGCTCACGCGCCTCGCCTCGCCTCGCTATGCTGAGGCCCCCTCCCTCGCCTTTCAACCAGCCAATGTCTGCAAGGATGCCCCCCAGGCGAGGCGGCGCTTCTCGAGCTTCCCGATCCGAGGGTATCTAAGCTTCCATTTGCTTAAGCTTTTTTTGATGGTCCCTTGTTGGCTTTAAAAGGAATTTATCACTACTGGAAATATGTTTTTGTTTTTCCAGGGGTCTTAACCAAACGGGAGTAAGATGGGCGATTTTGGCAATGCAGGTCTCCGAAGATTGCCTAGTTCCAGTTTGTGAAGCATAGTAATTCGTTTCGTCTGCCCAGATTGTTGGGGAAGCCGAAAAAATAGTCAGCACGGAGGTGTGTGTTCTGGGGACGTGTGCCTTTACTTTCCCCACGCACGACAACCCCGTGAGAGTTGGGCAACAGATGTAGTTTGCAAGAACTGTTTGGTTTCATCTAGGAGTGAGCCTTTGTCACGCTTGGTCAAAACGCATCAACTGATCAGGTGTTGTTCCTTGGTTGCTCCCCGTTCTGGAGCAAAAATCATGGGAGCCCCTTACAGTTTGATTCAACAAGTGGCCGTGGCTCAAAAAACGTGCTAACATGGCACCAAAAGGTAAATGGAACCGACGACATTTCGTTGATATTGTGGTTGGTGTTTCCGCCGAAAAGCGATCAACCTCAAAAGGGGACAACCCCCTTATTTAATACCAAATACCGAAATAAACCATCCGGGGGGTTGTTAAGCCTGACATGTCAGACCCCTCCTTTCGGACGTGGACATTGCGACACACCCCAGGAGTTTCCGACCCATGGAGTAATTTCAACCGGTTTACTTTGAGCAGGGAGGAAGCTCAGGCGGTTTCCATGTCGCAGGTCTTCGTTCGGGCGTGGCCCCGTTGGTCCATCTAGCCCCAAGCCGTTGGCGACCCAGCAACCCCCGGAAAAGCCTCACGAGGGTCGCTGGGCACCTTGCGCAATGCGTCCGAGTCAAGTCTTGGCGACTCCGAATCCAACTTGAAGTTGTACTTCCTGTGGTTTTTCTGCATTTGGGGGGGGGGGGGGGGGGGGAGTTTTTTTTTTTGGGGGGATCCAATTTTTGCGGGGAACTTTTTTTGGTTGTGGGGGGCGGGGAGGGACAAGAAACTTCCCAAAGCCACATTTCCTTCGCATTAGGCGGTTGCTTGAGCAACCGAGGCGATGTTTACATCCCAAGCCGCGCGCAGGAGTGGCTCCAACTTGGGTCTCGGCCTTGGGGTATCACCCAGCTGAGTTTGTGGTGCGAACGAGAAGTGGAGTGACCCGTATATCAACCATCCCTTGCTGGTGGATTCCTTTCTTCGGGAATCCCAGAATGGTCCATTCCCACCACCAGCGAGTGGTTCATGCCGGTTTTCCTTTCTGATGGGGTTCCTGGCCCTGCCTACGTGGAAAGTCGAACCGGGCGCCGATTCTTTTGGCACCGTGGGTTTGTGTTGCGCATGGCGTCTTAGGCACGGGATGCGATGGCAAGGAGGAAGTGGGGTCCATTTTGTTTGAGCAGGAAACCATGAAACCATGGCAAAAGCAGTCGAAAGCCACTTTTCTGCTTGCGTAAGATTTTCAGGTAACCCTTAGTTGGTGGTTTCAATTGGTGGTTTGGGGGGGATTTGAACCCCAACTCCTTGAAGCCAATTGGGCACCTGACTTGACTGCTATCAAGTTGGATCTTTAGACTAACTTTTTCGAACCCCCACAAAGTTAAACTTTTTGCGGGGGGGTCAGCAGCAACCAAACTGAAGTCCAAGCCACAAAGCCAAACGACCGAGTAGCAGGATGCTGAGATTTGACCCTGTTCGCATTCCTCAACGCCCCGAGGCGTTTACGAGCGGAGGGCAAGCTTCGAGCGGCAGACGAGCCCTCAGGCAGGTGCCGGAGAAGCCGAAACCAACTGAATCTCATCGGGCGCTCATGTGGGGGGAGTACGTAGGCATGTTGCGGGCGATTGCGGGCGTAGAGTGCCCGAAATCACTTCGTACTTTGAACCATTTAGCGAGGACGCGTGGACGCAAGTTGGAAACAAAACTGTAAGATGCGCGATATGTGTCTTGATGAGAAGCATCCAATATTGTCAGGCTATCGGGTTTGGATCCTATCGGTTTTGAAGGTTGATGGGTCTCGGCTTTAGGTGGGTCGGTTTTGTCGAAGGAAGTTTAGAAGTCTAACTTCCGACAATATCGACAACTCAAGCAGAGCAGTGCAGAGCGAGAGATAGAGAGAGAGAGAGAGAAGAAGAGATGAAGAAGCGATGAAGAAAGATGAAGAAGCGATGAAGAAAGATGAAGCATGGTGTGCGAAATGTTAGAAAGGTCGCGAAATGCTGTATTTTTCAATGTTTTGAGCCTCCAGACGGCCCAGAAGTTACTTCGGTAAAGCGGCGGGTGCGGAGCCTTTGGTCGGAATTGCTGGCAAAAAATCGCACGCGGCCTGCGCGCGGTGCACATTTGGAAGTCAAAATCGTAAAAACACTACATGCTCGGGCTACTTTTGGAAGCTCCAACTTTCAAAAATCGCACGCGGCCTGCGCGCGGTGCACATTTGGAAGTCAAAATCGTAAAAACCTGAGAGGGTCGGGCTACTTTTGGAAGCTCCAACTTTCAAAAATCGCACGCGGCCTGCGCGCGGTGCGCGTTTTTAAGATGCAATGTAGCTTGACAGCGGTAAAACGCATTGGAATGGCAACGCGCAAGGCTTTTATCTAACTTGGAAAAATGCGTGGCGCCTGCGCGCGGTGCGCGTTTTTTAAGATGCAATGTAGCTTGACAGTGGTAAAACACATTGGAATGGCAACGCGCAAGGCTTTCATCCAATTTGGAAAAAATGCGTGGCGCTTGCGCGAGGTGCGCATTTCTAAGATGGAATGCAGCTTGGCAGTGGTAAAACGCATTGGAATGGCAACGCGCAAGGCATCCTACGCTGCCCTGTTGAGTTAGTCGCGCTCTAGATAGATAGACAGACAGACAGATAGATAGATAGATAGATAGATAGAAAGCTGGAAAGATAGAGAGACAAGTAGACAGATAGATAGAGAGGTAGACAGGCAGATAGATAGGTAGATAGACAGATAGATAGATAGATGGGGAGGTAATGTCGCTGTGACCGTGTGGCGTTTCGGCTCTGTCTTGTCAGTTGCTCCGCGTATGTCATGTTTGTTCAATGTCCCGGTTTTCGTCACCAGCATCACTAGCATCACCACCACCACTGTTCATGTTTGGTCATGTCCCGGCTTCAATCGCGGAGCGGCAACTCACATCACCACCACCACTACCACCACTACACTTTCACCAGCACTCCCACCAGCACCACACACAGGCCGAGAACATGATAATGTTCTAGTTTGTTGTTTGTCACCAGCCGACCTACCAGCATCACGCTCAGGCGGACAACCTCTTGATGTTTT